AATTTTGTGACACACCAGCCATCATATTTCACATCTGATGGTTATAAATAATTATGTTCTCCTTGTACCAAAGGTAAATAGTCTTTTATATAATCTAATAAAAATATTTAAAAATTAATTCTAAAAATGTAAATTGACCAAAATACCCCCAAAACTTTTCAAGGGAATTTTGGTCAATTTATATTTTACGAATTATATTTTATATATTTTTATTACGTGTGCCTTGATGAGTAGAATGTAAGCCTAAAATTTCAAGTGATTTGAATTTGTATTACAAAAATAAAAATTCAAATACAAAATGAAGTCGTGATCATGAGATGAACCCAAATTCAATTTGGGCCATTGGCGGATACTATAGCTGTTAGCCCATGGGCTGACAAGATCTTTTATATATATATACATAATCTAGATAGTTGGTAAGCTTCTTATTGCCAAAAGAACCCTTGAAGCATCGCTACATGGCCAACAACCCTTTTGATGAGGCCCTTGGAAGGAGAAGGAAGGCTGGAATGTCAACATATGTCTATTATCTAATTCACCTGATCCGATAGCACCCAGTTTGGAGTTTAAGATAATCACTTTTGAGGTTTTGTATCATCTCGATGCGCCCTCACACTAAGGACTTATAGGTCATATGCAACTCAGATAATGGCTTTGAGTTGGCTTACGCAGCCATCTCATGAGTCTGGGTCTTCAAATGGCTTGGCCTTGACCTTTCATGCCCTTGTAGCCGAATAAATTGTAGCCCTCTGAGGCATTAAACTATGAACCTTATGAGTTCAAATGGGCTTGGTCAGCACGCATTCAAATAAGGCCTACATCCTAGGCAGGCCATGAAGCCGCACCATGCCAAAACTAGGGGCAGGCAAGGAATGCCCTCAGCCATGACCTCTTTATTTGGCATTCTCAATGGAAAAGGTTCTCAAAAACGAAGGTGATAAAAAAGAATGTAATTGCACAGTAGCAAACTGTGTTCCTATCGAGTCGCAAACTGTGTTCCTATCCAGTAAGGAAAGGTTCTCGTTTCGGATCCAAGAGACTAATATTTGCATCCCAAAAGAGGCAAACCTCTGTTAGGTTGGCTTTTTATTTTTTTGGGGTTAATCATTGGGGATTATAAGTGCCTATCCATTTTGGAAAGATTTTTTTTTAAAATGTTAGTGAGAATGGAGGCCGTGACATTCAATTGGAGCTTGGGTGACAGAACCACCACAACCCCAACCCCATTATCAAGTTGGCTTGTAGCTCTTCCTTGTGAACCGTTAAAATTTCAATAAACTACCCAAGGAAGGCTACTTACATGTGCTAAGTTGGCTACTTACATGTACTAATGCTTAGGGGCTTCCTAAAAAGCACCTTGTGTGCTCAGTGAGGGATATTAATTTCCCTTGAATGATAATAATAGTTGTTGGAAATGATTTCGAAACCAAATTTTTTTGGGAATCGGAATTGCAAAATCGCGGCTGGCTAGAAGATTTATGTTGTCATAATCGATGTCTATACAAGAAGAGTCGTTGGAAACTAGATCCTTATTTTACAAAAATTGAGATTCAACCAAAATAGATTTAAGATCCCTACATAGATGGAATAAAGATTTCTAGTTCTATAGAACCGAGTTTCCAACCTATTTGATTTCTAGCTCTATAGAATCGAGTTTGCAACCTATTTAATATCGACCAATATAGAATCCAGATTCCTTTATGTATAGAATCGAGATACCAACATCATGATATTCGAGAGGGAACTGAGAGGAAAACAATACATACTTCAACATCATATATTAACCGACATGTCATACATACACGTTTATATTATTTCCAACATCTTGGAGTTACAATCTCTCCATTGGATCAATACAGTACATATTTAAAGACATAAGGAGAGAACATGGACTACCAGCTAGGTTTCTATCGGTCAATTTATGCAAAAAAAATATGACTACAGCTTGTAGTTTGAGATTAGGTATCTACCTCGAGTAGTTTGATGCCATGAAAACTTCTAAAAATGACTTCTCGAAAAACAAAAAACATGGTCAGAAGTAGTAGAATTCCAAAAATGTGAGAAGCAATTTCAAAAAGCATAGAATAGAAATTCATCAATTGCATAATCAATAATCAATAAATATGGAAAACAAGATTTTATAAGTACTAAAATCCAGATTCCTAAAATAAAGAATTGAGGTTCTAGACTTCGCAGAAACAGAATACCTGAAGATTCCTAGTCGAAATAGCGAAATCAGTATTATGAATCGGAATCGCAACCTTCGATGAGATATTTTGAGAAGTTTTGGAGAAGGAAGACTATAAAGATGAGTGCCCTCCTTACTATGCCTTTCCCACCATGAAAAACTAGTGAATAGAATGGTTGGGCATATGATACAAGCTCTCATTCATACGTAAACACGACAAATCCTTTTGAATTTCAAATATGAATATGATGATACTTTATTTTCCTTTCAAGTCAGAAAACCATAATGCCTCGAACCAAAACATACATAAAGTACAACACTGCATTTGCGCCTTCGCCATCCTATAAACAAGATGGGCATGCAAGAAAGTCGAACCTACACGAACAGGACATACCACATGGTATGCCCACTTACTCCCAACTATGGTACATTTCGTTGAATGGTGATGACCCAATTGACGATGGTCTTGAATAGTTCATATGATTAAAATACATTTTCCTGGAAATATAAATAGAACAATTTCTCATAACCTGTATATCAGCATATTACACACGACATGATATGGGCTTCAGACACAGCAGTCCTGAGAAATACATAACGGTGGCAGCATATATAAACCACATCTATTGTGTCATTCATACTACACCGCACGAACGTGTATTGGTACTGTCGGATAAAAAGCCTTGTCAGGTCACATGCTTAATAGCTTTCATCTACACTGAGTTAGGGTTCAAAGTCACTGATGTGGCTTACCTGAGCAGTTTCAGTTCGTGCTTCCTCCAGCAGGCCCATAAGATCTCTTACTAGAGGGGTAGTTGCACCATGTGTAACCTTGAGTATATCCGCAGCCTTTGTTAAGGACTTCACTGCATTCAGAGTCTTTTCTAAAAACCTTTACATGATGAAACGTATCAGGAAGAAATAAAGGATGTTTCTGTGACCTTATAAAGAAATGTAACTAGTCATATAAACTAGCTGTAATTAGCATTTTCATAAGCTTTTAGCACAATTTTTTTTTTTTTTGATAGGTAGCTTTTTGCACAATATTTGCAAAAAAAAATTAGAGTTGGTGATATATTGACTCATTTCGATGATTCACAAAACATGCATTCTGCTTCAACTCTGTTTGTCATGATATTAGATAACTAGGAACCCAAAAGGTGTATATTTTACAGCCCAAAAATAGCAAGTTCATTTGACTGATTCATAGGACAGTTTGTTCCTTCCTTTTCTTACAGATAAAAGAGACGTACACTAATCACCATTTTCCCAAACTTACTAAATGGGAAATAATTTCTCAACTTTCCAAATCAAGCTTCTTGATTCCGAAAAGGATTACTATACTAATCCTGAACTTTTGAGGAATCCTTAATCAGTGGTTGTGAATGACTAATTTTTTTTCAATCTTTTCGACCAAGCTTCCATAAGAGCAAGTCAGAAAAAACAAATGGCCTTTATATGGGCCTAATGTACCATAGATCACATGGAAATGGGAAATACTGTACTTATTCCAGTTCACCTGGAAATGGGACATAAGACGCTCGCATGCGTGCAAATGCACACATGAAAGTATCTATCAGAGCTTGTCATTTATATCACATGGAAATAGAAAACTCACCATCTAAAAATGGGAGACATCCGTGAAAATGTTCATCAGACAAAATATGCATATAATCTCTACCATCCGTAATCAATGATGGATGGTGAAGATTAACTGCTCTTCCTCTTGAACAAAATCGCATACTTGTGTGGAAGCACCAGTCATCTCCACTTACCATTGTTTACAAACTTTGAGAATTATATATACCATTTTGATTGTTTACAGACTCTGAGAATTATATATACCATTTCCATTGTTTACCGACTTTCAGAATTATACGTACCATAGTAGTAACATACTACAAGCATTACATGTACGCCCAACTTTTTCAGTGGACCAACTTAAAATCAAATAAAATTAGTCTTAATTGAGTTATTTTAGGAATTAAAACAGTGCTTCCCATAGGGGAAGTGTCACAATTTGGTAAACGTTTGACCATACTACTAGCCATAGCATTTCCCATAGGGGAAGTGTCACAATTTGTTAAACGATTGACCATACTAGCCATAGTTATCAGATTGAGCAGTCCGCCGAATCGGTGAGGGCTGTAGTCCAAATCAAAACCGATTTGACTGCTGATTGGACCATTTGGGCCAGATTTTAGAAAAGCAGAAGAAGCTTAAGAACCATCATCATCATCATCATCAAAGCCTTATCCGAATCATTTGGGGTCGGCTATACGAATCTTGTTATGCCATTCGACTCTATCAAAGGTCATACCCTCAGTATGACTATAAATGCCCATATTCTCACCACTTCCATCCATGTCCTTTTGGGCCTTTCCCTTACCTTTTTAGAGTGTTCCACTTGAAAAAAATCACACCTCCTAATCGATGTTGGATTGGGTATCCGCTGCACATGCCCAGTCCACCTAAGTCTACTTTCCCTAATCTTGTTGCCTATTGGAGCCACCCCTAAGTTCTCTCAAATATATTCGGTCAGAACTCTATTCTTTCTTATCTTGCCACTCATCCATCTCAACATTCTCATCTCGACATAAGAAAAGAATATTAGTTCAAAAATATGAAATATATCAGAAAACATTTATCAACTTTATTTAGAAAATCAAATCAATCAAAACCCAAAAGATTTTTTTGTTAGCCATGATCGATCAAGGCACTGATCAGTGATCCGACTGGTTAGACAGGGTGATTCGGCCCGGTCTTGAAAACTTTTCTACCAGCACACATGTATAGACAAATGCACAAAGAAAGTTCTTGACCACCTTAAAGTCCAACAGCATAAATTTTCAAGCCTTTTTTGATATAACTAATGAACACACATTTACATTTCATTTTGTTATTTACCCAAATTGGGAGGTGTCTCGAAATAGAGAAGTATTGATAAATCTAGGCATTTTGGGTTGTTTAAAAAAAATGGAGATTTGGCGGAGTTCAGCTTGGATGCTTTTCATGAATTTCTGCCTTTTTAGGCTCAAAAGTGTTAGTTCCAAACATAATTCGCAATGTAGACTCGGCCAGATGGACTGACTACGAAAAACTAACCATTCAAGTTTCCCACATGTATAATATTGCAGTCCTAAAAGAGGATGGAATTCTGGATATGCCCCTACAATCAAACAAAACAAGGAAATTAGCAATTAAAAAGATAGCATTACTTATGCAACAAACTTTGAAGCAAGACTATACATAAACCCACAAAGAAGCATAATGAGTTTTTGAAAGGGGTTAGTGTCTACCCCTATTTATTTTGTAATTGCATCCAACCATGCAATTCACACTATAATTTTTAAAGCAGAAGTATTAACATGATGGGTAATGATTCAGTTACTAAGAAAGGGGGAGTACACTACAGCCCCCTTTTCCAAAGGTAAGCCTTTATACGTGGGTTCAATTCTCAGCCATCCAATCCGAATGAATGGTCAGAAGAGCATCAGCCATAATGTCAGAAGTTATCTTTGATTGTTTAATCATGATCTGATGGCTCAGAGTATTTGGATTTTTAATTTTTTTTATATTATCATTTTAAGATAAAATTTGCAGCATTCCCCTCCTCACTGGGGAGCACATAATAACAATAATATAAAAATATTTCGATAATAGAAAATGACAAAAATGCCCCAATAAGTTACAGGCATTGTTTATAGTCGAAAATATTTTTCTCATTTTATTTCGTGTGCCCTAGTGAGAAGGAGAAACTCCACAATATTATCTCAAAATGACTTGCAAGAAAAAAGACAAAAAAAAAAAACCCTAAAACTAGCCACATTAGGTGTGATGTTGTGAAGCTATCCCACCGGTCAATTTGAATTGGATAGCTAAGAATAGAAGTCACATATGTTTTTATATGTGGGTGGTGCCACATAGAAAGGTACCCCTTTACTGAAAGTACGGAACGGAATCGTTCTTGTTAGGATATAATAGAGCAAGCCCAATCCATTCCACGAAATCACCATGCAGTCTTTGTCAAACTCATAAGCAACAATATTCATAGGAAATTTCATAGCTCCACATACTTTGGTAAACAGGAATAGTTAATTGGCAATATCTTAATGTTTCTTCGCAGTCCTTTAGCTCCATCAGTATCTGTGGGCACATCAAAATTAACGTAAGTTATTAAGTCTAACAAGAAAATAAAAGGTTACGTCACACTAACAAGAATGAGAATAATACAAAAAATGATAAATCAATGAGTAATTAAAATGAGTTGTAAGAATTAATAAAAATGAGTATTTATAAAAATAAGTTCTTTTTCTTTGATAACTAAGTACTGATTCAAGAATCAAGAATGACAATAAAATAAATCACACAAGGGAGTAATGACTAGCTTCTCTTTCGTTTATAGGTACAAGAAATCAATATATTTTTATGTTGTAGCTGTTAGATGGATATTGACCATGTTTTTATGAATGAAGCTAAGCCATTGCCATTTGGAGCTATGCTTAATTCATAGTTAAATTATATTAACTACTTAATAACTGATGAAAAGATATAAAAGGAATAACCAATAAAGGACTGGTACCATTACAAGGGTCTCCCCAGTTCGCATCAAACCAAATGAGAGTGGATGGTATAGTTCCATTTGTTGTTCATCAATGATCCTATACAAATTGCACGCTTCAGAATACTCTGATTTGGTCGAGGGGTAAACATTCCAGTGCATGATATTGGCTTTCATTCTCATCACTTGATTCTCTTCACTCAAAGTTCCAGCACAATGACTTTTATCGAGTGAAACACTGTATGTGTATGCACGTGTGTGTATATATATATATATAGCAGGAAGATATACTTATCAAATACAATAACAAACAATTTTATCAATTGGAAGATCGCAACAGATAGTTCAGCGTAAAAAGAATATAGGAAGTTATAGTAGTATCTTATATTAATGAGATTAATAAATCTATTAACTTTCAAAAAGGATACTTCCAGAGGAGACGAATTTAGAAGCATAATCTAGTTTCTCTTCCACTTCTTCGTTCCTCTTTCTTGTCTTGCACTCATTCTTAAGAAGTCCACAACGTTGACAAGTAAAATTCTTACCATCTGCACTGGATCATAACATAACCAGGAAAAGTTCTAGATGTCAACCATGGGAAAAAAAGCTTAGCCATATTTAATGAAGCTGCCTAGCATTTTAATAAGTCATTTTTATTAGCTACCAGGATTTGGTAGCAGAAAACCATCACACTGGTCATTTATGCATCTAAAACCTTCCAAAAGGGCACTCTCTTTCAAGTCATCATCAGAGCCCTTCAACATTGAAACCACAAGTCATTTGCATCCATCCATGAATAAGGAAAATTGTCAGGACAACGCATTGTACAGTTCATCTTGACAATGGATGGTTGAGGTTACATTCAGCATCTTGACAACCATCCATTGTAAACAACAAATTGTAGAGATGAACTTCTACTCTTTCAAGCAGCAGAGATCTTAACAATGGATAGTTGAGGTAACATACAGCATATCGCTTGCATGCTGCATTTATCATGGTATACTTCCATAAAAGTGTGCAAGCAACAAGAACGGTAAAATTATACCACTTTAATGCAACGTAAAGACGTGCAATTGAAGAGGTATTGCTCTTTGAGAGCCTTCCTCCGAGTCTCAGTGCTTCCAGCAATTTCAATGTAACTTATCAGGACCTTATGAGACAATTATAAATGAAAAAGTTAGGCAAAGAGCAACTAGAGCAGTTAAATAATACAGCACATAATGCACTAAACTAAAGGTATGCAAACATATAAAAGTAAATGCGTAAAGTCTCATACCTCAGCACCTTTAGTTATAGCTTCCATAGCACGAATTACTGCTAACTCTCCTTCAAATAGAAGTACCGAGTTTGGTGCGCAGCTGCAACTGCAAGTAATTCAGCCAAGAAAACTATATCCAATGAGGTAACAATGGCTTTATTGAATGAAACAAGCAAAATAAAAGAATCACGAAAAGAGGTTATAAAGCTAAAGAAAGATATTATCCTCTTCAATCGTCAAACAACAAATGTTATCATTACGTAGGGTTTATGATAGAAATCACAGGATATATCCCTGTTCCCAAGGGTCTCAGTTCACTGTCACAAATTGTATGGGCATTGCACACCAACTGCAAGAAAGGGAAGTAGGGTCAAGAACATTTCAGTAAAACAACCAAGTCTTCTTCACCTACATTCATACAACTTCAATCAAGAGAAAGAAATTAAGACTACATTAAAACTTCTATCATTTTAGATATGTATCGATGCAGTCTTGCTAATGTCAACTCCAGTACATGTTTTTTTTATTTTATTTTTTTACCATTCACGAGTACTGTTCAAGGGTATTGTTCATGAATTAGTGTTCATAGGGGTATTTCTGAAATTTTAAATATTGTTTAGGGGTGTTATGGAGTTTTTGAGAATTGTTTGGAATTTATTAATTAGTAAGAGTAGTTTGGTGTTTTAGTATAACTTATGGTTTAAAAGAGTAGCTATTTAAAACTTTGTAAAGAGGTTAGCAAGTAGTTGCTGATGTTATCGTTGTAGAGAGATTTTTTTGCATTGAAGCCTTCTGAGCTTTGCTTTTATTGAATCTATTGAATTTCAAGTCCTATTTTCTCTTCGATCTTGTCCATCCACACTTTGTGCTTCATCAATTCAGAGCCAATTGATTTTCTCCACACACTATGTGATGCAGGAAAACTCAAAGAAACATAGAAAAATCAGCAAGAAGCACCTTGACACAAGCAATTTTGGAGAAACCCTAAGGCTTTCTCCCACCTAAGGTTCAAGCCTTAGGCTTCTTTTACAAGACAAAATCTTTCTTTTCTTGAAGAGGAATACATGAATAACTCTCCAGCCCATCAATACCCTAATTTATATTGAAATTTTTTTGTTTTTAGACAATATTTGTTCATACAATTAATTTTTGACCAACAGGTCCTAACTTAAGTATAAATTTCATAACGATAGTTTTACCCCTATGAATAGTACCCATGAACAGTATTCATGAATAAACTTTTCTCATGAAATAAATAAAAAAATTATAAAAACCCTAGAATCCCTAAAAAAACTAAAAATCCTAAAAATAAGCCCTAAAAGCAAACTATAATTTATATCCTTTAAAGTTGAACAAAAATAAAGAATAAGAACATTTTTTCCCTTCCCTATCATTCTCCTTTGGTTGGAGAAAATGCGTCCTCGAGTTTTGAAGTGCGCAAAAATGAAATTGACGTTAACTCGACAACATTCTTCAACTCGAATATTGTAAACATGAACCTAGGACTTACGGGTTACAACACTGATAAAACCACGAAGATTATGCATTGAGGAAAGGGTCACTGTATGTCGATAGAATATTTTGAATCACATAAACTTGTTGAAATTGCATCACTTCAACCATGTAACCCTGCTGAATTTGCTCAGGCTCAACTCTAGGACATACCACAAGTGCATCTTTGATATCAACGATTAAACCAACAACTTCACCCTCTTCCAAAATATCTTCACCATCATCGTGATCCTTATCATAGATCGGATCTCCTGAATGATCTTGTTGTTCATCTGAGTATAAATCGAATATTGGTGGTGAATCCCAGTCTACAACTTACTGATTTTTTATGCAATCTGTGTCAAAAAAAATATCATCCTTTAAATTGAAAATCCTAGAGTGATGAACCGTCTAGGTATCTAATCGTTGTCCTCATCACTCGACTCCACACGCGGAGAGCAAAAGTGAAAAGGCTTGTACTCGAGATCCTCTTGGGCTAAAAGATCATCGTTTTGCCCTTTATTGAGGCTCGCGAACTACCAGACTAGCTGCTGTACTTACCTCTTAAGTTCCTCAATTCTGTCATCTATGGAATCACAACGTGGATCTACGAAAATCCTCATTTTAAGACCCCTTTTTGCGGCCATGGGTTTGCCAAAATCACAAATCCTAGGCAAATAATCAACAAAAATTGCTGAAATCCGTAAGATCTATATTGTTTTAGGAAAAATTTAGCCAAAATCAACAAACCCTAGACCCCACTATAACTTTCCCTCTTTGTTGTTGACCTAGGGCACCAAAGAAAGTGGTTCTACAGTAACTCCATATGTGTATTGCTACGGTAACTTCCATACTTACTATAATAACTTCTATGAAGATCATGGGCTTTGATACTTGATGTAGAAAAACTCGAAGAAACACAAAAAAATCAGCAAGAAGTACCTTGACACCAGAAATTTTAGATAAACATGACTCTCCGGCTCATCCATGCCCTTATTTATATTGAAAAATTATTATTTTAGACAACATTTATCCATATAATTAGCTATTGACCAAAAGGTCCTAACTTAAGTATAAATTTCATAATGACAGTTTTATTCCTGTGAATAATACCTATGAATAGTACTCGTGAATAGTACTTGTGAATAGTAATAATGAAATAAATAAACAAACTATAAAAACCCTAGAATCCTTAAAAACAACTAAAAACCCTAGAAATAAGCCCTAAAAACAAACTATAACATACATCCTTTAAAGTTGAAAAAAATTAAAGAATAAGAAATTTTTTTCCCTCCATCACCATGGCATTCAGTTTCTTTCGAAACACGAGGATGGCTGCACAAGAGTTGCGAGGAAGTGACCATGTGAGAGGATGTCGCGGTCGAGACACCGGAGTTAGACCCATGATGGCAGCTTTGGCGGCTATTCTTCAGAGATTTGACACAGTGGCTTCCGAGGTGCACCAGTTCAGAGACATCACCCAAAATTGTGCCAACAATGGGGTGAGCAAAGGTGATCACTTGCGTCCCCAATGTTTAAGATGTTGACCAAATTTGAATTCAGAGGATGCTTCAGACAGAGATAGTCTGGATCATATAGGTTACTGGCAAGACACCCTATACCATTTGAGGATCGGTAGATTCAAGCACTTGAAGGCTCTGAACAAAGTATTAGGGTTGATGTTCCAGATTTTAGCGGGAGACTACAGTCAAATGACTTCCTTGACTGGCTTGAAAGTGTCAAAACAAATTTTTCCAATAGAATGATATGGCAGAGCATAAAAAGATTATTGGTACTAGGTTAAAAGGTCATGCTTTGTTGTGATGGCATCAAATATAAGTTAATCACACAAGAAAAGAAAAGTAAATGGCCATGAAGTAGGGAGAAGCTGAAAAGGCATTTAAAGGGCAAATTTCTTCCACAATTTTATGCAAGATCTTTACCAACACTCCATCGATTACAATATGATTTATTGGTACTAGGTTCAAAGGTCATGCTTTGTCGTCATGCCATCAAATACAAGTTGATCACACAAGAAAAGGAAAGTAAAAGGCCCTGAAGTAGGGAGACGATGAAAAGGCATTTGAAAGGAAAATTTCTTCCACAAATTTTATGCAAGATCTTTACCAACACTCCATCGATTACGGTGGAAAGATGGTGCAATACAAGATTATATGGAAGCCTTCTATCAGTTATTGAATCAGAATGATATTCGAGAGACGGCTAACAAGCTGATTGCAAGATATACCAGTGGGCTACGTGTTGCAATATAAGACGAGTAGTCCCTGCATCAGATTTTTATTTTGGATCAAGCTTATTAACTCGCTTTGAAGACTGAGACCAAGATAACAGATCTGGGCCCAAGTGCTTGTAAATAAGCAACTACCACAACAAAGTCCAAAGAGGTATTGAGGTCAAGGTGTAACCAGTCCCATGGTGTGGAAGGGGGTCGATTTATGGACCAAACCGACCAATGCAGGACTAGTACAACAGTCCCCAAACAACGGTAAATCAGGAACATGGTTCAAGTGTGGTGAGCCGGGACATAGGTTTTATGATTGCCCGAAGCGCCAAGCTGGCATCCACTTGCAAGGGAAATCTACGGAAAGTAATGGGGAGAAAAACGTGCACACCGATGAAGGGAGTGATGCTGATATCGAGGGAGGTGAAGAAAACACATACCCCAATGACAGCAAGCTCTTAGTGATTCAACCTACACTAGCTACACCCAAGGTTGTTCACAAGCCATGGCTGAGCCTAATATTTTTCGCACAAGATGCACATAGCATATGCCAAAACACTAGGGACGTTATGCAGGCACCCAATCTATATTTCAAAGACGTTTGGCTTCATGGTGTTCCAAAAACTGCACGTTTTATAAGCCACTTATGGAGGACAAAACTGTAGTTCAGCAGTGTATACCATCCTCAAATAGATGGTCAATAGAGGGAATTAACAGGAGTTTGGGCAATCTTTTGCGCTGTTTCACAAAGAGAACGACCACAACAGAGGGATTTGTTCTTCTCATGCTCAGTTTGTGTATAACAATGCTAAAAATAGAACCACGAGGAGATCACCCTTTGAAGTAGTTTACGGCATGAACACAAAAAAGTATGAGATCTGGTGAATTTGCCTGATATGGAGCGAGTTAGCAATTATGCAGAGGCTTAAGAGGAATACATTCCAGACATCCAATAGGAGATGACTACAAGCTTAAGAGGAACACAACACATAACAAATAGTGATTGCCATAGGCACTGAAAAGAGTTTAATGAGGTGATTTAGTTATGGACTACCTACGAAAGGGGG